TTAGACTAGTATTTTTCTGTCTATTTTGAACTAGACTGAGACTGGTATATTTCTGACCGAAATCTGACAATTGTCATTTCGTAGGCCATCTCCATGTTAAAAATACCAGTTGATTGCATGGAAAAAAGATGGTTGGTTGACTAGTTGGGCATGCGGTTCACACTAGTTGTGAGGTAGTTTACAACTAGTTAATTTGACTACAGGGTAACGACAGCATTATGAACTCATTCACAAGAGCATTTATAAGGTGACCAGAATATTTTAGCATTCCAGGAGGACAAATTCTCCACATTAAAAACACAAAAAATTTGTTTTATACTTATTTTAACACATAAATAACATGTTAAAAATGCAAAAGCGATTCAAAGTTGCTCTAAACACAAGTCAAATAAGTTAATAGTACACTGCGTTGCATAATTATAAGACCGAAACATATTACCGTTGATTTTTGTCATTTTTTTTTGTTGACAGTGTTGTTCATTTTCTTCTATATAAAAAAAAAAGAGTAGCACCGTAAAAAAATTCCAAAAATCAACGTTATTTTACATATTATTCGATTATCAGTTTCTATTTCAAGTAGTGTTTCTAATGAATTTGATTAAAATTATATTAACATAAACCTATTTATTTTTCAGCTTTTGTTTTGTAGAATTTAGCTTTTTTCTAGCGGTTTTTTATAAAAATCTGGATTTTTTACTCGAAAATAAGTAGTTGGCATTACTGGCTCGATTACACTTCTTAAAATAGTGGTTAGTTTTGAAGTAAAACGTGAAGTTTTTTCTCATTTGTGTTAAAAAAAAAACAAAATTTCTAAAAAAGTTAACAGTTTTCTTAAATAGGGCTAACATTGAGTTTTCACTAGGCATTAAATGAAAAAAATTTACCACTATATTGGGCTTTAAACACTTCCCGTGTCATCCTGTTTTTCCACATTGCATTTTTAAAATGGCATACATTTTTTGTCATTTCATTGCATTCGTTTAAAGAATTAATGAAGTTTCTGTTGAATGATCATTGTCTTAGGCTTTCTGCACATTGGTCGTCCAATCATAGTTGCTTCATCGTCACAATCATGATGCAACGATTACATGACGACTACACTTTCGCACACTCGGTCGTGATATTTCAATTCATTTGGCGTCTAAAAATTCACTTGGAGCAGGTATTTTCTGTTTTTCTGGTTGATATTTTCGCGAAATATTTACAAAAACCTGCAATTTTTAAAATATAGACTGTGCTGCAACAATTCTAGACATAATTTTTCAGTAATAAATATCTCTTATTTTCTTTTCCTTAAATGTGTTTTGTGCATGCACACATAGATTTTTTACAATTTCGTCATATTTTATAGTTAAAACGCTCACATTTATTGATTTTTAATGCAATTATCCACTTTTTAATAATTTCCACAGATTTTATGCAAAAAAATACAAATTGTTATGCAATTTTAATGCAAATATTAACTTTTTCATTACTTTTTCCCCATAAAATGTAAACAAACAATGCGTGCACAACGATTAGCAAACGACAGTGCCGTACTTATCCGTTTCTGCATCTTCTACGATATGCCGATAACGACAAGTGTGCAGATCTCCTTTGAAATGCATGTGCTCGGCTCAAAATTTCAGGGCAGGACGATAACGCAACTATGATTGGACGACAAGTGTGCAGATAGCCTTAGTATAGCAAAAGTTTATCTCACACTTTTTTTCGAATAACTCTAGATATTGAAACCGTTATGAACAATGTATGTATGCAACAGTAATTAATTTTTGGGTAATTTTTGTTAACGGTTACATTTTAATTATGATTATAATAATAGCAATCTTAAAAAGTTAAGGACTCAGATTACTCTAATCGTAATCATGAAATACATTTCTAACTTCTAACGCAAAAATCCCACAGGCCTGTGTTATTTTTGATTATGTACTTGGATGTGAAATAACATGTTTTCTAAAATTTGTTAAGCAGATTCGCGCTTCAGTGCAATGAACATACTTATTTTAAGCCACTTTAAAAATCTTTTATCAAGATAAAAAATCCCCATACGCAAATATTGCCACTGATAAAACTTATACATATCTGGCAAACAAAATTACATATGGTAGGAAATAATTTTCGACTGTGGAGACGCGTCGTTAGCTAGTCTTTCAGTGTTGTAAAGGGTAAAATATAATTGATTAAAGCTAAAAGGCATTTAAACTGTTCAACTTTTACAGGCGATTAGTTGAATCAACAGCGTACATCATGTAAATGAAAGTTGAACAATGCCTTTGAAATACAATGATTGTGTACGATGAGGAAATAATAATATTCCGAACGAAATTTTTTGAAAATTTCATCACTGCTATACAACTTGAAAGGGGGGACAAGGAGGACATTTGTGCTCAAAAGGAGACAAAGAAAGACAAAATTTTGAGGAGGACAAATGACGTTTGAGGAGGACAATAGTCCTCAAAGGAGGACGTTTGGTCAGCTTAACATTTAGGACTAACATATGTACACACATTCACGCAAATGGGCTAAATTCTGTGATTATGATGAATATTATTGTACACGCCACTCGTCTGGCTTTCTTCTTGAAAAGAAAAACGGATAAATGGACGAAGTTTGATCTCGTTTAATTCTAACGAAAACGAGTGGAAAATCGCAAGCTCCAATGAAACAAAAAAGCTCCAGAAGAAGGGAGATGATAGCGGGGGTGGTAAGGAACTATAAAGATTAAGATTCAGATTAAGACTAAGTGTAAGACTAAGAATGGGAATAAAATGAAGATTAAGACTAAGACTAACAGGCATGTTCTGAAATTCGAACGATTTCAAATCGGTACGATTCCGAAATATTTTCGATGATTTTCAATCAGAAATTTCAGATTTCTAGGACCAGGTTACATGCATGCGGCCGCTGTGGTGTAGTGGTTAGCAGTGCGTGCTCCCACTCCGCAGGGCCTGGGTTCAAGCCCTGATCAAATGAATATCGCAAAAAAAATTTAAAAAAAATGTTTTTTCTTAACCTCGGCAGGACTGTTAGTCGGTTATCGATTATCCGTGTTATTTTAAAGTCGTTTTCTCGTTCAATAAGTGCGACTGAACAGTTTATAGTCGCTCATCCTTCTATAAACAAACAGTTGCAGAAGGATGAGCGATCACATACTATTGAACGAGAAATCGACATTCAAAATACCATGGAAAATCGATAATCGAATAAGAGTCGTTTATCTACTATTAGCCGACACTCGCAATAGGGGTGACTATGTAAATATAAGAGAATTTTTTCTTTAGAGCTGCATGTAGATTTAAGAAATTTTTATAGAAGAAAATTTCTTTTTTATTTTTTTCTGCGTCATTTTATATGAATTTTTTGTTTTACTTGAGAGCTGCAGACAGACCTTATAGACTTATTCATGCCCCTTCTAAAGTTTTTAATCGATGGATGAGCAAAATAGATTCTTTTTGCGACTTCTAGGGAGAATCTATCCTCTACGCCACTGTGTGTACTTGAATCAATTCGCAATAGGGAGCACTTCGTTGTATAGAAGTTCATAATAGGGAAGCTTGACTGTACATATGTATGTATATATATTATTAATCAAGAAATTCTCAAGTGATTGATAGATAGATCTACATAGGTACACACATATGTATATTTTATGAAATTTTCTCCTTAGCTTAAATTTCCGTTCTTATCATCGTCTAGTCCCTTTTACCTTATTAATTTGTAACGCTTTTCATCTACTTTTTATATGGCTATAAACTTATAACAACTTCATGCGTGCCAAGCGTAACAATTATTAGATGATTAAAGAAAACACATATTTTAAATTAGTTCCATCGTAAACTTATTTTGGTCAAAACAGCAACAAAAACAGTCATAATTTAGTTATAATGGAATGAAAAAAAGCGTTTAAATTTAAATCGAAAACAGCTTAGCCTTGATTTTAGAACGTCTTCAAGAGTGGCGCAAATAATTTTCAATGCATACATATGTATGCCAGTATCCTATGAACTTAGACACAATTAAATACATACATATGCACACATGCTGACGCGCATGCGGATAACTTTGCATGAATGAAATTGCGTGTGTGTGTGTGTGTGTATGTGTATGCGTGTGTTAGAGCTAATGAAAATGAAAGTGTTAATTTAGTGATCAAGTGAATGGAGTATTTATTGCCGCCAATTACTTAGACGCAAATCATTTCTGAAGATCGCCGCTGGGTTGGGCCAAAACAACAACAACAGCAATAAGATTGAGCTCGTGAACGCTGGAATATTTATGAATAAAATGAACTATCAAATCTTTACGAAATGTGATTTGATAAAAATCAAGTCACGTCTACCTACATATGTATGTTTAAGGTTAAATAAAAAATACTGTTGAGGATTGAGGACCTCTTCAAAAGAAATGCATGAAGATAAATAATAGTAAATGCTCAGGAAACTTCTCCAGGTGTTTCTCGAGGCAGATTTTATCAAGTTGCCCATAAGAAACACAACTTTCTTTGTCAATTGTATTATTTATTTAATAAACGATTTGTTTACTCCTACAAATTACAAAAATCAAATTTTATTTATTTACTTAAACATTTACGTATTTCCTTTCATATAGCACATATGTATGTATGTACTTGTAATTGTATTATGTGCGTATATTATTGCAAAAACATTTCAACATACATAATTATTTCTATTATATGTACAAATTACTTTTATTACTTACCGAGCTATTTTTTAATCAGATTTTTAATTAACGCGGCGCTTAAAACTAGACAAAGTTACTAAGTCAGTGCAAATTATGCGATCTTTTATAATATAATTCAGTTTTTTTGGTAGCAATTTTTACTTTTAAATTTTTTCAATTCCTGATTGCTTTAGACAAATCAAAGGTTTAGACATTTCTTAGTCATTTATAACAAAATGCAACACAACTTATCATAAAAGAAAAGAATTCCAAGTTCTGTTATTTATAAGCCCAACACATATTATTTATACATTTTGTGTACATATAGGTATAGGTTTATATGTGTATGTATTTCCATAAATGCTCTATACTAATCCACAAGCATGTGCTCACAGTTGTGCACATATGTACATATATCACTATTGATATCATTGAAGACTGCGTTAGAGCTCAGCGCAGCTGTTTTACGAAGTTTTTGCCGATCATAGTCGACTTTCTCACAGCAAACTTTGTAATTCGGACAGAAATTATTCCACTTATCTAGCTTCCCATCCTTCACTATCAGTGAATGCTTACGAGCCTACTTCGATCGTTTTATTGTTGCCTTTTGTAGTCATAGACCCCGTAGACTCCTTCTTCATCGTGACTCGCTCCTCTCCACTACCACTACCATTCCCACCACCACCTCCAGCTAAAGCATCTACTGATGACGAACGCGAGACGGACAACTCGGCTTCCATATCACTGCCCGCATATTCGACATCATTTTCTGCGACACCAATACTTGTGGGCGTGTACAAGTCTTCTTTGTAGGTCACTTGTCCCATGAAGGAGCGTATCTCATCAAAGTAAGAGTCCTCTCGATCCGCTTCAATTGACGAAGGCGAATCGCCAACACCAATACCCAGCCCACTGGTGTCCGCCTCGTGTTTCTTCAGATGTCTATCGAGATTCGTTTGTTGACCGAAACAACGGTCGCAGAGGTGACAACGGAACGGCCGCTCCTTGTTGTGTATGTTACGTACATGCCGTTGTAGATTTGATGAAATGCTAAAGGCGCGATCGCAATACTTGCAGGTATATGGCTGTTCACCGGTGTGCGTGCGTAGATGGCGCGTCAAATTGGCCGAACGTGGAAATACCTTGCCGCAGAACTTGCATGTGTATCGTTCTTTGATTTTACCTGAGGTTGTAGCCAACATGCTGCTTGTGAGGCCGGCAGCACGAATCGCTTCACGAAAAGCCGGTTCGGGCGGAAACGGCATGCCAACGCGATGCAGTGCACCCTCATAGGCTGGCCGTCCGCCCATTGCCCCTAAAAAAGGAAACGGCCTTGGGAATGCAGCGCTCAGCGCACGTGAACGATAGATCTCCTCGAGGAGTAGTGGATAAGGATGCTTTGGTTGAGGGCAGGAGATACCGGTCGCGGTGTTGGATGGTGACAATTCTTCTTCTGGTGCATTCAAGTAGCTGAGCGGTTCGTTGCTCGGGGGCGAAGGTGAAGGAGTAGGCCCAGGTGGAACTTTGTACTTGCGTCTGGGGCTTCTAAAAAAGGAAATTCGTTCTGATTTATGGGAGAGACGTTGTTGTTTATTTGGTGTAACGCCATTGCTGTCGGCACCCGCTGAGTTCGATTCCCGCAGCTCCGGGTCAAAATTACGCTCGCTCGTCGTAGTCTGGTTGGCGCCATCACTGTGTACCGACTGAGTATCAGCGGTAGGACTACAACTAGCGGCGCGCGCGCGATTGCGGCTAATACTCAAGTCGAGTGGCATTTCGACGCTGCTCGTTGTGGGTTTGCTTTCCTCATCGAATGCCTCTGCAGGTGGTGGCGTGCTGATAACGTCGATTGATTTCTGTAATGGAAGTACATGAGTGGAATTTTAATTATATACATATGTACATACATAGTTATGTGAATGCCAATCGGGATAGTTATAAACTCACCTTATCATCTTCCGCTTGCTTGCAATTGTTGGTCTTAAACGAAGGCGTCTCTTCTTGCACGTCCACATCTTCGTTTGGTAAAACTTTTAGCTCCAAAGAAGACGAGCTGTTTTCGTCATCACTCTGGTTGCGAGGTGAGCAGCTTAGTTGCTTGATGAAATTAGGCGACGAGCAGGCGAGTGTAAGCGCAAGTGGCATTGCTGCTTTTTGATCCTCTTCAGGATCCGTCGCTTGATCTCCCTCAGCCTTGTTGCAACTATTCGACTGCTTCTGACTGTGCTCACTAGAAGGTGACACATTATCCGCACGCGCATTCTCTACGAAACCAAAATTGAGTTGCTGGTTTAGGCGCATGGCATTCGGCGATGGTAAACTGCCAGCTGCATTGTGATTGCCTGTCGGCTGCAGGCTCGGCATTCGCATATCCAAATTCGTTTTCGGAAACAGGAACGCCTGTGCTGGGCTGGGAAACATATTTTGAAAGCCGTAGGCTGCAGCTGCCACTGGGAAACTCGAAAAGAATGGCTGCGTGGGAAATAGCAGGAATGGGTGGGCTGGTCCCGGCATACCGGAGGCTGGTAGTGCACCACCCGGAACATTGACATTTCCCGCTGCGGCAGCCACCGCGGCATTAACTGACTGCAATGCTGCGACACGTGACTGCATGGCTTGCTGCTGCGGTGACTGCAGGTGTGGCGGCAAAGTTACTCCGGATGTGACAGATGCAGCAGTCAAGGGTTGCATTGGCAGCGGTACGTTGGTGGAGTCACAAAATCGTCTATGTTTTGTTAGCGATGTCCCCGTGCTGAAGCTCTGACCGCACTTATCGCATTTGATTTGCGTGCGACAGTCGGCGTGCATGCGCTTGTGACGGCATAAATTCGAGAATTGCGTATACGCTTTGTAGCACACCTCACACTGGAATGGCTTCACCGACGAGTGGATGTGCGTGTGCTGCTTTAGGCCGGACGATGTCGCAAATGTTTTTCCGCACTCCGGACACGCGTGACTTCTGGCACCGATGTGGTTCGCACGAATATGCCGTTGTAAATTCGATGGATCACAAAATACCTGTGCCAAAAAATAAAAACCAAACGAAAATTAGAAATGAGATGGGAGTACACGAAGAGGTAATTTCGTATGTAGGTTTGTGGATACATTAATCGCTTAATAACAATAACAAATTAATGGACTGAGCAGGTTTTGTGGAAAAAGAGATCAAAATCATGAAATGAGCAACGCTTAGCGTCAAATCAAAATTAAATAAGGCGTATAGGCGACCTTAAATGTACCGTAACAGAGAACGGTCGCAGCAAAGCGATCGATGCGAGATCAAAGCGAAGTAAACGAAGGAAATGCGAGACGGCAAGCTGTGATGGTGGTACGAGTTCAACTGAGGCAAAAGTGAGGCAAGTGAAGTGAAGGTGAGACCGACGATTGAACGGAAGGCAAAGAAGCAACACTATAAAACAAGGTGAGGCGATATGGCTGGATATGCGGTAAGAGTGTTTATTGATGCGATGTTATGCTACGCGTAGCCAAAAATTGAGCTCACCATTACAAAGAAGGCCTAAATAAGCATATGTTAGCCTTCCTTTCTTTTTTTATTAGAGGTGGCAGTTAGAAGGCGAAGCCCATAGTGGCGGCTACAACATGGCCATAAATAGCCAGAAAGCGCTACCGTTTTTAACGGCAACAACGACCACAGAATACCAACACGCTGTTGGCCATGGTAAATAAGTAAAAGTGTGTGTGCCTTGATGACAGTGAATCAATTACAAAATAGAAATGAGATTAATCAATCATACAAAAAGCTGCAGAAAACAACAACGACCACGGGGTGCGCAATGGAACCACAATGGCGACAAAGCATTAATAAAAACAACCAAACACCAAGGGTAAAACAAAATCTAAAAAAAATTACTGAAAAGCCCGCCTAAACGCCTAAACGGATCTACTCCATATGCAAATGCTTACGAGGCGACTTCTAGCAACAACAATGGAATGGGGAGTAGAATAAGCGTCGAGCAGCTTTACTTAAATGGAATAAAAAGAATTAAAATGATACAAGTCGAGCATAATAAATATATTACGCAAATTTGAACAAAAACCAGAGCAGAATTCGAGCAAACAAGTAGAGGCAGTGCCGGCAGAGCAGAAAAGCGGGTTGAGCGAGGCAACTCTACCACCTCCGACATTTACGGCTTTCAAGTGCTACAGTTGTCGCTTGTTCCGTGCCGTTCAAAGCAAAAGAAAAAAGACTGAAAACAAAAAAGCAAAGCGTTCCACACCAAACCCAAAGTAAGCGCGGAGTACCTATGTTTTTTTCTTTTCCACGACGCAGTGCGCAGGCGCGAATCCCTCAACGCTGAAGACGACGACGGCACAAACTAACTGACAACAAATACACTACCAGGTTTGGATTACGGCAAAGACTGCGGGGCAAAGTATTCTGCAACAAATACGATATAGATAGATTTGCGCGAATTTGTTGCGCTTGCCGCTGGCTTAAATGCCGCCGCCCGCGCGCCAGCAAATCATAAACCCACTTTAAGAAGCTCTGCACTAAGCTGCAAGCGACGGGCGGCATGTAGTGGAAGCTTTCGATATGCGGTTATATTTATGTTTCTATGTAGCTGTTGGTAATGGTGTTGCTGCTTTTCGGACACGGGTTCCGCGCACGTTCGCTGCTTTTATGAACTAAGCCAGGGGTTCTTAAACTTTTAAGATGATGGAACCCTTACTAAACACCATTCATTTTATGAAACCCTACATTAAATTACTAAAAATCAAAGGCAGTGTACAAACTTTTACTGGAAATAGTATACATACTTTAAATTTTAATGTAAAGAATGAAATTGTTTCACTGTTATTAATTAGGTATTGTATAAAATAGTAGTTCGATATAATGTCTGAAAGCTTTATGCACATTTCTGGGGTAGCATCTAATTTCGACCTGAATTTGTTTTTTGTATAAGTGTAAGCTGAAAACCCTGTTGACAGAGTACGTTGTGATAGAAGGAAGCAAAGTTAGAGAGAATTTTTAGCGACTTCATGATATTTACTCTTAACACTAACCCAAAACTCTTTCAGAGACTGATTCAAAGGTGTGCTTCAATGTCGAAGTACTCTGAAGATCTACGAATGCTTCGTAAATGGATTTTGTACCAAACCGATATTACTACGACCATCCGAAAAATAATCTGACTAAGTTTTCAGGATATTTACCAAGTGCTCAGTTATGACATTTCACATTTCATTTGGCAATTCATCGCATTCCTTGTAGAAAGTTGTATATAACCCTCTGGCTACAGCGGCCAACGACACACCAGTGAGAAAAAAAAACAAGCTGTCAAGCTCAAGCTCAACGCTCTTATGTAGGTATGACACTCAGTACGGCAATCATACAAACTACGAGTACATATTGTCACCTGAAATGCAAAAAGACGTAACAACATCGCAACTGAAATTGAAAAAGTCGTGGCTAATATTTTCATTTTTTTCCATAAAATTATGTGGGAGTTGGAATTCAATGAAATCCATCATATAAATCAAAAAGTGAATTTTGAATTTTTTATTAGTTATGACTTGTATTTAAGCGATGATGTTTGTTATGTCTTTTTGAATTTCAGGTGACGATATATATACTTGAAAATAGATAATTGCGTCTCAGTCAAGCTGTTTATAGAAATTNGAATTCAATGAAATCCATCATATAAATCAAAAAGTGAATTTTGAATTTTTTATTAGTTATGACTTGTATTTAAGCGATGATGTTTGTTATGTCTTTTTGAATTTCAGGTGACGATATATATACTTGAAAATAGATAATTGCGTCTCAGTCAAGCTGTTTATAGAAATTTTCTTTCTGTGTGGAACTCAAACCGACCGCCGTGCTTATTCATACCAAAATTAATTTCGCGGAACCCCGGTGACTTTTCTACGGAACCCTTGGGTTCCGCGAAACCCACTTTAAGAAGCTCTGCACTAAGCTGCAAGCGACGGGCGGCATGTAGTGGAAGCTTTCGATATGCGGCTATATTTATGTTTCTATGTAGCTGTTGGTAATGGTGTTGCTGCTTTTCGGACACGGGTTCCGCGCACGTTCGCTGCTTTTATGAAACTGTTATGCCTAATCATGCTGTCATAATGGCACCGGCAATGTCTCTCTGCCTGTCATTGTCTGTCCGTTTGTCTGTCTACTCGTATACATTTCTATCTGAACCTAGTATATCGCGCGCATATGGATTTGTGTATAGGATTTGTTGTTGGTGGATGATCGAAGTATAGCCGTGAAGCCGAGAAGGCTTTAATGTTTTCATACATAAACTTGTATCGTATGAAAGGTCTTTTTGTTTTGTATCTCTTTTTATAAGAAACAAGAATAGCTCGTGCTAAAACAACGTCAAATGAATTAGTGTAGTAGAATGAAGCACTTACTGAGCCACTTTTGGGACAAAACTTACTTCGACTGCTTTTATTTAAACAATTTTTATCATTGCTGCCCTCGCTAATATTTTTGGATGAATGGACTAAGGCAAAGTGTTGGTATGATCTGTTTGCGCTGAACTAAACTGATTTGGTTTGAGTAGCGTTGCTTCGGATTGCGATTCCTTCGGTTTTGAACCTCGACGCTTGCTGTGTTCCTGTGACTATCAGCGCGATTGACGGACTAACTTCCTCAGTGCATTTTCGTCCTACACCCTCAATCAACATAAGCCTGCATGAAGGTCTGAAGGTGTCTAGTGTCAGCGGAGCGCGCTAACGCTGGAATACGATTTATGTAAATTCTCAGATCTAATCAGATTATTCTATTTTCTTACACATTTTTTCGGTGCTCCAGCTCAGTTCATTGCTTCTATTAGCGCGTGACACACCTTACTGGCATCTTCTAACAGCACATGTCAGCAAGCGCGCTATTTCAGTGCAGTGTCTTCTCCCTTGCGTATGGTAATACCACTAATGCGCTCGCAACGCCCAAATAGCGCGCTTACAAAGCCCACCGATAATGGTGATACCAGCAATGCCTATGTATAAATCCAAAGGTGACCATGCAAGATTGATTATCTTAACAATTGGGCAGCTATAGGCAAATTTTCATACAGCCGTGTGCTTGTGCGGGTGTGATCTTCACATTTGTATGCCCGCCGCCTTGTGCACGATCACCAGCGATCGTGCGCGGGGAGAGCACTTTGCATTGCACACGACATGGTTACTACTGAAACAATTACTGCGGCGTGCCAGAGTGACGCGGCGGAGAGCTCATCACAATGCGGCGATTTGGCTGCGTAACTGTAACTATATGTAACACTTATGTACATATGCCATTAGCATGTGCGCGATAGTGGCACTCGATCGCTTGATGGAACGATCGATCAATCGATCTCTAGCGCATTGACCGTTTGTTTGCGGCAATACAGTGGGATTTAATGTGGCAAATCACAAATCATTTTCCTTGTACGCCATCAAACCGCAAGCTGCAGCAACTCGTCCAGCCATAAAAGTAATCTCTAAAGATGTTTCCTGCAATTGCCACGCTTCTGTTAATGGACCAAAATTGGAGCGACTTTCAAATAAAATTAAAGTACATACTACATACATATGTATGTATGTATATTGGAAGTTGCAACGCGTAGAATTGAGCAGCGCGCGGTACGGCGAACCTGTCTTGTTATAAAGTGTAAGGCATTGTCAAGCAGACTAAGTAGATTAAACATGTGTGCGCATGTTTGTGTTTATAAATAAGTGGGTATGCATCATCCAATAACAGCAACTGCTTATACCAAGCATTGCATGATAGCCAACTCTTTTGTGCCTTTTGACCTGTTTTGCGCGGGCGTACATCACAGCTCCAAATTTCATTATTACCACACTTTAATAGGGATGTCAGTGGCAAAAAAACATCGATGCATCGATATTTTTCCATATACATATCGGAGGGCATACATCGATTTGCATAGAATTTTCAGATATTATTTGAAAGCAAAAAATGTAATTAACTTTATTTTCAATTTGAAAATTAATTTATTATTTATAACTAAACAATTAAATTCAGCAAAATGCCTAACTAA